GGTACAGAGATGGAAACACCATGAAGCTTTCAGGGAAACAAATAATTGAATATGGTGGGAGCTGCTGAGGCTGCAGATAGGTGGGCAGGTGCTGGTTTTGGAGAAGCTGGTATTGCCAAGCTAAGGGACCCAGACTTTCTCCTGGTGATGGGGAACCATGGAGGTGGTGTAGACATATCCCACCTGATTGTGATCAATGTAGGCTTCTAGAAAGAGGCAGATTTGGATGGCCTGGAAAGATAGAGGGGGATTTGTATTGGAGGAGAAGAGGTGAAAGATATTAGGATATGGACAGGAAGTGATAAGAATGGAAACAGGAAGTCTTGATATGGGCTATGTGGATTCCCATCCATTCATCTATTCATCTATCCATCTATCTACTGATTGGACGTTCATGAATAACTGTTCAATACAAGGCCAGGTTGGGGGATGTGGGCTTTGTCCTGGGGGTGTTGGGGAGCCATGGGAGGATTAGGAGCAGGGGAGAGCCAGGGTCAGCTGTGGAGACATGTGAGTGATGAACTGTAGAGGAGAGATTGAAGGCTGGGAGGCCAGGGAGGAGGCTGGAGTGAATGTGGGGGAGGACAGGGCTGTGGGGATGGAGAGCAGAGGACAGGGCAGGGTTGGGCAGTAGGGACAGGGCTTGGAGACTAGGTGAAAGGGCAGAAGGTTCTGGGTGGAGACTGCTTGGGAATCGGGTCCAGTGTCTGGGTGGACAGGGTGGAGCAGGTAGCAGGAGCTCTGGGGGGTGGTGACAGGGGTGAGAGATTGGCTTGGGCAATGAGGGCCAGGGGTCCAGCCTATCTCCCACTTCTCACCCATGGCCCACCCTCCCCAGTACCAGAGGCACCTGTTCGTACACATCAGCCAGCACTGCCCCAGTCCTGGAGCACCCCCCCTTGAGAGTGTGGATGTCCGGCAGATCTATGACAAATTCCCTGAGAAAAAGGGCGGTCTGCGGGAGCTGTATGATCGTGGGCCCCCCCATGCCTTCTTCCTGGTCAAGTTCTGGGTGAGTTCCACCACGAAAAACAAAAGTGCTCATAAATCACTCCCAGCTAAGGCCTCTGGCTATTAGGGAGACAGTTTCAGGGCCTACCAGGTCAGCTTGGGCCTTACCATTCCCCATGGCTCAGAGTTTCAGTCTCCTTTGCAACAAGGAACATATAGAAGTTTTGTCCCCCAGGGTGGGATGCATGGGACCAGTGTAGGCTTAGGGATAGGACTTGGACCTCCCCAGGTCCCACTAGACTTTGCCACACCCAGTTATGTAACTGATATGGCCCTTGGGATTGGCATGTGATGTTTCAGACTTTCCTTCGTCTTACCTGACCACACCAAGCCTTTGTTGCTAAGGAATGGCCCCCTCCCCTTAGCAAATGGAGTCCTGTAGAGTTTGGCCTCTCAAGAGGGGGTGCCATGTTCCACCAGAACCTGTTGGTAGAGATGTCTGGCCTTAAGAATTACGATTGGAGGAGCTGGGGAATGGCTTTGTAAAACCCTGTATTTATTTAACAATCATTTGTTGAGCATTTGCTATATACAAGGCCCTATATCAGGTACTATATATATAATTGTGAATAAGAGGGTCTATTTGGGTCTTTCTTAGGCCTGTTTGGTTTGGTGTCCAGTCCAATGGCTGATGCTGTAGGGATTCAATAAATGTGAATGTTTAAGGGGTGTTAACTCTTGTAACCAGGGCTGTGGAGGGATGTAGTCTCAGAAGGAAGTGTGCTGAGGGTTTGAAGTTTACTGGCCTTACTGGGCCCATAGCTACCACAGCTATAAAGTGTTCTAGCATGTGAGGTGAAGGCCTGAGATGGCTGTTAGGCTCAAGCCTCTTATTAGGGCTTAAGACAGGCCTCACCAGGTCCCAGATCTGGAGAGCGACCCTTTGGAAACCCAGCATCTGAAGGGATGCAGGGGAATGGCTGGGAAGGCTCTCCTTTTTATCTGGTTTCACAAGGCCCTGTTGCCAGCGGGAGAGATGGAGTCAGGCCTCTGAGAAGAGGACTGAACTACCTCAGAGAGTGACTTGGTCGAGTTAGCAACTAAAGTAAGGAAGAGAAAGAGTGGTGCGTCCCAGGAAGGTGACCAAGGGGCTCAGGCCAAAGGTGATATGAGGTCTTAGGCTTCATTAGCCCCACCTGGCATAATGGACTGTCTGCTCACTTGGTCACTGGGGTCATGAAGGGGTCTGACCTCTGAGAATCAGCTTTAAAGGCCCAGGGGAGTGTTCTCTAGGCCCCACCAGGCCCCATTGATGGGGAGTCGTGCCTTGCCTTAGCAACCAGAGTCGGGAAGGGCTCTGAAGGGGAGCTAGGGAGTAACTGCCTACTTAGTAACCAGGTCCTTGGAAGGGGCTGAACGCTTGGGTTGGGGGATTTAAGAGAAAAAAGTTGAATTTCAGAGCTCCTTTTGGTGGGGGCTCACTGGGGAGAGAGGGTCAGGGGCTCAGACTTCCCCAGCACTGATGGAAGGGTGAGTCTTCTCCAGAAACTAGCCCATGGAAAGGCGGGGACTTTGAATGCTAAGGAAGAGAGGTGGGCAAATACGAGAAACTGTAGGGGCAAGTGGGAGAAACCAGGCCATGGGGCAGAGTTCCCACGTTAGAAGAGTCGCCATCATTTATAAGGGATGTCCCCTTCCACTTACTTGTCTCCCCATCCTTCAGGCGGACCTGAACTGGGGCCCAAGTGGTGAGGAGGTGGGGGCCAGTGGCAGCAGCGGTGGCTTCTATGGCGTGAGCAGCCAGTACGAGAGCCTGGAGCACATGACCCTCACCTGTTCCTCCAAGGTCTGCTCCTTTGGCAAGCAGGTGGTGGAGAAGGTGGAGGTGAGGCCGGAGGGGTGGAGCTCTGGGTGGGTGAGCACCCAGCCACCTGCCACTTGTGGGATACAGACTACATGGACCAGGAGCCACAATACCTCAGGCATTGGGGGGTCGGGGGTGTCCCTACCTTTGGGGGTTTAATGCATGGGCTTAGCACTAATATAGAGTTCTAAAGTCACACATAGGTATCGCTTTGAAATTTCAAAGGTAATGTGTGGGACTGGAATTTACAGTCACTAAGATTCAAAAGGTTCTTGTGGATATGGAAGAGTCTGCAGGCAAAGAGTTTTAGGGGTTAAAACTAAAGGGTGGTTAGGAACTGTGGGGGTCTCAAGTTCAGAGGTCATATAGTTTGGAAATCTCATGAAGGGTCTTTCGAGGATTTGAGGGCATCTGAGGGTCTGGAGGTCAGAGGAGTTCAGAAGTCATTGAGGGTTCAGAGCATGGCTTTGAAGGCCTGGGGTGGGGGGGTCCCTGATTTGCAGGCTCAGTGATCCTGCATCAGATACCTGAGTGTTCAGGGTCCTGTCTCTGGTCACTGCGGATGGGGCAATGGAAAAGTGAAGATGGCAGTGAGGAGTGGGTGTGGCATCTGAGAAGCATAGAGTAGGGCTGGGTTCCTGGGGCAACCCCTGTGTGTCTCAGTCACCATCCTCCCCGCTCCCTGTTCCCGGGTTCAGACGGAGCGCGCCCAGCTCGAGGACGGGAGGTTCGTGTACCGCCTGCTGCGCTCGCCCATGTGCGAGTACCTGGTGAATTTCTTGCACAAGCTGCGGCAACTGCCCGAGCGCTATATGATGAACAGCGTCCTGGAGAACTTTACCATCCTCCAGGTGATGTGCTGTGGCTGGGCCGGAGCAGGGGCCCAGATGTGGAAGGGGTTGCCCGCCACAGACCCTCAGCCCCAGGGACCCTTTCACAGGAGTAACTGACAGTGGAGACGCTACAGTCAACCCTTGACTTAGGGGACCCCTTTACCTAGGGAACTGATGTGGGGGATTTCACAGCCTTCTCATGAGAGGATTCCCTGCTTCATTGGGGAAACTGACCTGGAGGACACGTGGTGGATCTTTAGCTAAGGGGAGCCCCTTCACAGGGAACCTCACTGTAGTCTGGGGAACATGATATGTTGGGATATCTTTAACTTTGGGGAATGTGCTGAGCTGGGGACCCCCTTCACCTGGGGAATGTGATGTGGTGGGGGCCCCCTTGATATACCATCTGACATGAGGCCCCTTTGAATGCTAAGGAAGAGAGGTGGGGAACCTGACATGTTGGGCATCCCCTCTACCTGAGAAACATGACATAATGGGCACCCCTTTCCTGGGTATTCCTTGATAACTGGGGGAGGGCACAGTGTGGTCCCTTCCCCTTCTCTCCCTTCCAAACATAAATCTCTTCTCCTGGCTTCCTTGGCAGGTGGTGACAAACAGAGACACCCAGGAGCTGCTGCTCTGCACTGCCTACGTGTTTGAGGTCTCCACCAGTGAGCGGGGGGCCCAGCACCACATTTACCGCCTGGTCAGGGACTGAAGGGGGGACCCCAAAAGTGGCTCACCCCTGGAATACCCTCCTCCCAGGAAAGACCTCACGCTTCTTATTTGGGGAGGTGGCTGCTCTGTGTTAGAAGGAACCTTAAATGCTGGGTGGTGAGTTGAATGGGCTGGGACTGAGAGGAAAGGATGGATCCTGATATTGGGACTTCACAGGGGTGTCTGAAAGGACAGATCACTCCAGAGCATCAGGGACTGGGGACAGGAGTGAGTAACCCTGAGGTACAGCACTAGTTTTTAACAGGTGCCCTGCCCCCACTCTGTTCTGGATGTTTTAGAGGGCCCTAGTTATACATTGGCTTGTCCCTCTCTCTGTTTTTCAGCCCCCCTTTCCCAATCTGCCTCTCCTTACCACCCCCATTTTGAGACCCTAATATTGAGTGTTGGTTAACCCTTTCTGTGCAGGAGCAGAGCCAGGTGGGCCCTGGAAATATTTTTTTTAATATAACAAGAGATATTTATAACTGGGTGTTAGGGTCATGACTTTTTCTCAGCGGGGCAAGCAGTGGGGTGAGGTTTTTAAATGTCATCCTGTCTTCTACACGAGCCATGGGCTAGACTGTATTGCCCCCACCCCCAAAAGTGTTGGTTTGTTTTGACAGAGGATAAAGCTATTTTACCAAAACACAGGGGATTTATTTGGGGTTTGGGTGAAAAATAATCTTGTGGGAAGTGGTAAGCTACAGATGAGGCAAGGAAATGAGGTATCTTTGGGGGCAGGAAGCTGGTGGCCGGAAGCCTCAGTTCCCGTGGGAGAGGTGACAGCAGTGAGGCAGGCAACACCTGGGTCCCCGGGGGGAATTGAGGAGGCAGAGGGCTCAGTGGCTGGGGAGAACTGGGGATTAAGCAAATATTTACAGGGGACAGGGAAGTAAGTGCCCAGGGCACTTGAAAGGGTCAGGGTGGGACTTTGGGGAGGGTGTGGCCTAGTGGTACCGAGCCAGCCTGTTGTAGACTTTGTCCAGGTTTCTGCACAGGAATATGGAGAGCGACATGAAGCTGAGCTATAGAGAAAGGAGAAGCAGTCAGAGAGGTCGGGGTGGGGTGTGGGGTGTGTGTGTGTTTCTGAGATGGGGAGGTGGGGTGGTGGGGGGTAGTAGCCAAGGTGTGTGTGTGTTCCTGAGGGAGAAGTAGGGGTGGGGCCAGGGGAAGAAATTGAGGGGTCAAGAATTGGGTGGGGCGGGGCTAGAGGGAGAACTGGGCCTGGTTGTGAAAGATGGGATCCAGGACTAGAGTTTGGGGGACTATAAGAAAGGTGGAGAATGGTGGTGGAATTAAGGGTAAAAGGGCTGGAGGTCATGAGGTAGGCCACCAAAGATGCAGGTGGGCCCAGAAGGGTGGGAACAGGATGGGGTAGGGGGAATCCACCTGCATCTAACGCAGGTCTAGAGTCTGGGAAGGAGTGAGTTCCGGAGCAAGCCCAAAGTCTTTTATTCCGGAGGCTCATCTGTTTCCCCCTCTGTCTTCGTCTCTAATTCCACCTCAGCATCCACCTCTGTGCCTGAGATCCGGGTCTCAAGCTGTTCCTCGTCTTGATCCCAAAGCGGCCAGGTTCCCAGGACCATGGGTAGCTTGCCCTGCGGGGCCTTGTCGCCCCAGTTGGGGCAGGCATCCGCCATGCCCCAGCCACCCCACAGACTGACGCTACGCCCGCTGCTGCTCAGCACACCACCGCGCCCTCTGCCGCCATCAGCGTTAACGCTGGGCCTGGGGCTCCAACCGTCGGCGCCCGGCACCTGCGGCTGGGGTTCCCTGAGGAGCGCTTTACGTGGCAGTAGTAGCAGGCTCAGCCCCGCCACACTCACCTGAGGGGAAAGGGAGGGGGGAAATGCCTCCTTGGGTGCAACCAATCAGGGCTCACAGGCCTGGGTTGGCCGACGCTCTATCACTCATGCGCTTTGGGGGGGGGCTATGTAGTTGTAGGGCCAATAGCAAGTGAGGGTGGGACTAGATTACCTCGAGTAGACCGACGCCCAGACAAATGCCCACTATGGAGATGAGGTTGTTGTGCAACCACTTCTGGAGGCTCCGCGCGCAGCCCTGGGAATGTAGAGAAAGGTTAAACATAGGGTTCTTTATGGGATTCGACCTCAAGCCCTGGCTCACCTACTTCCCTAGTTACCAGGGTTCTCTAGTTTTCTCTATGTTCAAGCCTCCCCCACCCCCCGCCTAAGCAACAGCGTTTCAGGTCCTCCCCTTTCGGCTAAATCTTCTTTAGGCCCCGCCCTTCGGTCTCACCTTTTTTCTCGTAGTCCCGCCCTACTTGCAGACCCCGCCTGCCTGCAGAGGTCCCGCCTCCTGTGGACCACGCCCCTCACGACAGCCCCTCCCCTTTCTAGTAGTTCGTGCTCCAAACCCTGCCCACCTCACGATAGGTGTAGCTGTTTGCAGGGACCACGCAAATGTCCGTACTGTGTGCTGGTCGCTCCTGTGGTCGGAGCGGGTTGAACTGGGGGAGGGAGATCTTAAAGAAGATTGCGGAGTCGTTGGTCGCCGATGAGTTATAGCAGGAGCAGGGCAGGCGGTACCCCTCCGACACGTTTCCGCTCAGGCTGGAGACATGGAACCAGTCCTGAGGAGAGTTCCAGCCGCAGCAGCGCAGCTGGGAGAGGGACAGAGTCAGAGGGAATTGGACTGGGTGGATGCAAGATAATTTGGGGGATCAGGGGACTGGGTGAGGGTATGTCGTCAGGTTGGGAGGAGAGGATTAAGTTGTGGGTGCTGGGTGTGGTACGGGGGGCTGGGCTGGGGTTACGACAGGGCCAAGGCCAGGGGACATTAGAGGCACATGGGATTGGGAGAGACGAATCACGGGGGCGGGGGGGGGCCTGGGGGAGAAGTGCAGGATGGCACAGTGGGCCAAAAATTGGGTGGGCAATGCAATAAAGCTTCAGGGGGACAGGTAGATGGGAGGGCGGAGCCATGTGAACGAGCTGGGAATGGAGTCTCACGTGGGAGCCAGAATCACTAAGGGGCAGAGAGTGGGGTCATGCTAGGGCCTTAGGGCTGAGGGCGGAGTCCTGTCGAGGCAAAATGCGGAGCCTCTCCAGGGCCTTGGGTGGGAGCTGGGAGACTTGGCCACAGTGGGGCCCGTTATATGATCAGGGGGAGGGGCCACGTTAAGAGGACCAGAGCTGGAAGGAGGGGTACACATCTGGGCGGGTGAGGCCTCACGCACCTGGAACTGCACGTAGTCCCAACTCTCTTCGGCTGCGGTCTCCTCCGGGTTGGCGTGGTAGTTCCGGATCGTCTCCTGCACAATGTCCTTCATCCTCCGCTCCAGCTGAGAGGCCGAGAGTGAGGCTGGACTTCCACCGCTTTCCCACTCCATGTTCTCCGACCTACTCAGCCAATCCCCAGCTCTCTCAGCCCCAAGGGGTTCCTGAGCAGATTTATCCCGGCGTCGGTTCCTCACTGAATGGCTAGCTATGGCTCTGCTCCTCAAAATCTCCCTTTGCCGGTTTTTACTGTCTGTCTTTCTGTTTCTGTCGCTGTGTCCCACGATTTATCATTAGGTCTCTGTCTCTTCCTTGGAGCCTCTGTTTCTCCTCAGGTCTTCTCTGTTTTTTCTGTCTGTTTCCCTTTGGATCTCTGTCTCTTTTGCTATGTCTGTCTTCCTCCGTCCGTGTTGCTTGTTCTCTGCCTCTCCCTGTCTCTGCCTCCCTTATTGTGTCTCTGTCAGTCTTTGTATCTGTTCTTTCTTCCTTTGCCCCTCTCTGTTATTTCTCTTTGTCTATGTTTGCCTGTTTCCATCTCTTTCCATCCTCCTACCCCTGGTCCACCTACTAGCTGCCAGGGAAGGTGGGAAAGGCAAGCTCACCCGGATCCGCTGAGTGGAGATGAGGATCCCCAGGGTGATCTGCGTGACAAACAGGAGCAGCAGTATCCCAAAATACTGGGGGGAAGAGAGGAGAGGTCAGGCTGAGCCCCTCCTCAGGATGCAAGGGTTCTATTTGAAGGAGGATGTGAGTGGTCCTAGGGATAGAGAAGGGGCAGGGCACTCACCAGGCCCAGGAGGCAGCGGAGCTCCTTCAGGGCTCCCACACAGCCCAGGAGGGCAAGGCCCATGGTGAGGATTCCTGAGATAGCCAAGGCCTTGGACCAGATCTGCAGGGGCATGAAGGACAAGCCTGGGGGAGGTGAGAGGCAGTGACATTGGGTCCCATGTGCACAGCTCCTGGCAGTCCCATTCCCCACCCATGCAGCCTCCCAAGTGGGGAGCAGTATCCTGCGGGGGGCTCTTTCTGGGTTCCTAGCACCTTTTTCTCTGGGTCTCTGTCACTGCCCCACCTTTAGACTCTGTCCCTCTCCTTCTGAGATTCTCTCCTAACTCTCTCTGAGTGTCTGCTCCTCTTCTGATCTCTCCCTTTTGCTCTCAGTCTCCCCATCTTCATCTCTTCACTCCCAATAGTTTCAGCCCCATCACTTGTTCTGTGACATTGGGTTAGTCACTTTAACCTCCCTGAGGCCTAGGGGATAACGATATCTATTTCCTGGGGTTGTTTTGAGGGACACCCAGGAAGCATGTGTTTAACCCAGTCCTTATCACTAGGCAAACACTTATTAAATATGAGCTATTAAGAGTTTGACTATTACCCCATTATTATTTTCCTACTGTTATTATTAGGGTTCTGTATCTGCTCTACTTCCTTGCTGTGTGACACCCAGTAAGTGACTTCCCCTCTCTGAAAGGAGAGGGGAAATTTTGTGGAGGGGAACCTGATGAGCATCTGCACAAGAACTGACACATAGGAAGTGCCTGAGAAATGGGTATTATTATTGTTATTAGTGGTATGCACAGCTCATTTGTCCGAGGAAGGCACTGAGGCTCAGAGAGGTGCGGCAGTGGCCAGTGGGGAATGGTGCAGCAGAGCCTGGGACCTGCCTAGGGAGTTGGGCACTGTGGGGCTCCCTGGGACAAAAGACACCCCAGGAGGCCACCTGCTGGGAGGCTGGGTCCATGCCTGCTTCAGGAAGGCCCTCCCCAACTGACCCAGCCCCCTCACCCACAAAGGACACGAAGCTGGTCTTGTCCACGAGTATCCAGATACCAAAGCAGAAAATCAGGCTGCCTAGGACCTGGGGAGAGGATATGAGAGAATATGGTGGTGGGCAAGTGGGGATAGGAGGGTTGGGGTGGCTGCGACAGGGGCTGGGGCCCAGGCTGGGCAGGGGCTGGGGCCCATGAGGCAACTCACGAAAAAGAAGAGGTTGAAAACGAAGAGGAGGTACTTGATGAAACTGAGGCAGCTGTCCTGGGCCGACATCTTCACCTAGAGGGGTGAGTGAACAGAAGAGGAGTTGGCACTGTGGTAGACGGCAGAAAGAAGCTGTGAGAGAAGGAGAGGCTGAGAGAAAGAGAAAGGAAGAACACAGAGAAAGAGGAAGTTCTTGGGGCGGAGCCCCACCCCTCCTTCTTCACATGAGGTGTCTTTCTTCTCTGTCTCTGCCCCTTTCTCCCTCACTTGCGCCACTTGGACACACACACCAGTACCTGTGGGGCCTTGGAATTTGTGGACACCAAGGACACTCTAGGCAGTCCCTCCCAGGCCTCCGTGGCTCAGGTTGGGGAGCCCACAAGGACTCTGGATCTACTTGTACCCACTTATTCTGGGCACCAGTAACCCAGGCTGGCCCTGGACAGCAGCTGACCTCACAGACACTCTGACCTCACTGCCTGCTAAGCTCTGCCATCTATGCATCCATCTCTGTCCCCGCTTCCTGGCCCTTGGTTTCTTGTCCTCCCCTCTCTGGATCTCTGTTTCCTTCTCTCTGGGCCTTTATCCCCTCTCTGAGTCTCTCTGTCTCCCCCAACCTCGGGGTCTCTAAGTCTATCCCTCTCTGGGTTTTTGGCCCCATCTCTCTGTGCACCTGTCCTTTCTCTGTTGATCACTGCTCCCCTCCCACCCCCACCTTCTGTCATTGCCCCTCTCTCAGAATTTGCGTCCTGTTTTTGGTAAACCAGGTGCTCCCTGTACTTGGGCAGGGGGCTGGGCATCTGGGGGAAGTGAAAGTGCTGCAGGCCCCAGTGGGAAGGTCCCTGGGAGTGAGGGGTGGCTGGCTAGTGCCAAAATACCCAGAGAGGAAGCTGAGTCTCAGGCAGTACTTCCTGCCTCTGCAGTGGGGCCTCTGAGAGGAGAAGGCCCTGGAGAAGCCAGGGTTGAGCTTGGGACCTTGGCAGTTAGATCCAGGTTTGCAGTACCTGATCATCTGTAGGCCTGAGCAGTGTGCTTAGCAGCCTCTGAAGTCTCCCCCTGATGCCCCACAGGCTCCCCACTCTTGTCAAGTTCCAAATCCTCAGATTTTCAACATCTGTTGGGGATGTTCCTACCATCCTGACATCTACCCAAGCCCCGGAAAACCAGCCCCTCTTAGAGATACAGCACCCTCTCCCTCTTCTGAGAGAGCTCATCTATTCTTATTAAAGGCTCCAAATGAAATTTATTATTGTCATCAAAAATCTATTCATATTAATAGTATTGAGGAATAATTGACAAATATAATTGCATACATTTAAAGTGTACAATGTGATGATTTGATAAACATAGGCATTGTGGAATGATGACCAAACTCAAGATAATTAACAGATTCATTATCTCACATAATTAACTTTGTGTGTGTGTGTGTGTGTGCGCGCGCGCGCATGTGTGGTGAAAATACTGAAAACCTACTCTTGGCAACTTTTCAGTACACAATCTGTATTATTAACTCTAGTCACCATGCTGCAAATTAGATCCTCAGCACTCTTTCTTGTAACTGAAAGTTTGTACCCTTTGATCTAAATCTCCCCATTTCTAGTCTCTGGCAACCACCATTCTACTCTGTTACTATAAAATCTTAAAAAAAATTTTTTTTAAAAAAGATTTTATTGGGGAATTGGGGAAGGGGAACAGTGTGTTTTTGCAGGACCCATCAGCTCCAAGTCAAGCTGTTGTCCTTCAATCTTAATTGTGGAGGGTGCAGCTCAGCTCCAAGACCAATCGCCATTTTCAATCTAGTTGTGGGGACGCAGCCCACCGCTCCATGCGAGAGTCCAACTGGCAACCTCGTTGTTCAGAGCATGTGCTCTAACCAACTGAGCCACCCCACCCGACTGTCCAAAAATATTTTTTTTAAGATGTCACATATAAATGATATTTTGTCTTGTTCTCCCTCGATCATTTCACCTAGCATAATTCCCTCCAGTTTCATCCATGTTGTCACCAATGGCAGGATTTCCTTTTTTATGGTGGAATAACATTTCATTGTATGTGTATGGGAAAGGGGGCTGGGCCCATAGCCTAAGTGCTAGTGTGTGTGGTTGGGCCCATGGGGGTGGGGTGGGGAGGGAGGGAGGGAGAGAGACAGACAGACAGAGAGAGTGAGAGAGAGAGAGAGAGAGATAGAGAGATCGGGAGGGAGGGAAGGAGGGAGGGAAGGAGGGAGAGAGAGAGAAATGGAAAGGGGTTTGGGCCCACGGTCCAAAGGGGGAAGCGAAAGAAGCAGCAGGCATGTGTGGGCGAAGGACCAGTGCGTGTGTGCAGGTGTGGAGGAAGGGAGGAAGAGTGTTGAAGAAGGTAGAGTGACAGAGTCATCCGCTAGGTCACCTGGGAGACAAGAGAGGGGAGTGAGGCGCATGCGCAGAGAAACTGCAGGAAAGGCGGCACCTACTACAGTAAGCGGCGTCGCGCGAGCTAACCTCCCGAGGCCTGAAGACGCCTGAGGTGGTCGCTGGATTTCTCAGTTGAGGCTTCTTCACCCTCATTTTCACCTGACTGACCAGACTGAAGAGCCCAGGCTTCGAGGCTAGGGTGAGGATGACTTGGTCCAGGGAGCCCGGAATGTTCACGAATCTGGAGTTTGAGGCTGGGTGTCACTCCCGAGGGATAACAGGCCACCCAACCAGAGCTTCCTGATTGCCCCGGGCTCTGTGGAACTGAGATATCAAATAGGCCTGAGAGGTCCCTCCTTTTTTTCTTCCCTAGAACCCGGGAAGCCGGCTTCAGCCTTTTTGCTCACCGAATCTGACTTTGAGCCACTCCCAAGGCTCGGCCTTCTATCGGCTACGCCATCAGCCCCTGCGCATTGGGGACACCCATTGATTCAAGCTCCCAGACCGCAGACACCGGGTCCAGCCCTATCACTGACCTGTTCGGGAACCTGAACACCAGCCCCCTCCTTACCGTTTTGGAAGTTATAGTTCCAACGAAGGAGGTAAACGGGCATTTCTGGGGGGACCCAAGCACTCCCCAGAGGACATGGGCCCCAGAGAGCAGTTGTGGGAAATGATATGGAGGGTCTTGCATGTTGGGCCACCACCAGGGCCTTTCCAGCCTGGGAAGAAGGGTCTGCCATGAAACCAAGGGGCTTCATAGGTGTCACAAGTGGCCAGTTTGCAGAATCTGTTTGTCAAAGCTCAATTCTCGCACTGAAAGGTCAGATTTACCCATTTACCAAAACCCCCAAAAGTTGTGTTAAGGAATACACTTTTTGAATGTGTTCAAGAAAGGCGGATATATGTTTCATGACTACAGTTTTCCTGTGTTAGTGGAACACAGTCAAGGTCAGTGTTAACAACATGAATTATGAAAATCAGAAGTACTCCTTGCTATTTTGAAGTATGTTACATTTAAGCCACTGGCAAAATATGTAGCAGTAGTGAAGATTTGTGCTTCTTAGGTAAGCTGCCAACTGTTAGGTAAATGTCTCCGGCTTCCTCAGCTTGACTAACTCGAAAGAATTGAATTCAGATTTCTGCTTTTCTGTCTATCAACCCCCCCACCAAAAAAAGGAAAACAAAGATCATACGAAAGAAGTCACTATGGACACTCTTTAGAGTTATCTTATTTGATTTTGTGTTGATAATCTGAGGCTCTTAATTGCTTTTCCTATCTTTAGTTGCTGTGACAGCATTCTTTTCTGGTGTTTCTCCTAATTCTCTGACCTTTATTTTTTTTTAAAGATTTTTATTGGGGAATTGGGGGATGGGAACAGTGCTGGGGAATTGGGGAAGGGGAACAGACAAGTTGCTGTCGTTTTGTTCTTCA